TTAGAGCTTGAAATTACAGTTTACCTTGATAAGACCCTGTCTAAGTGATTTTTGTGGGAAAGTTGATGTCTTGGCTGATATACCTGCAAAAACATGCATATTTCTCCTCTTATTGTGTTAGAGTTGAGTCGTTATTATTTGAGTTGTTTTTTCCTATATGCCATTATCCTACTGTTATTGTTGTTGTTGATTGTTGAAAGTGAGCATCGGACTTTGCCAACCTCGCTACTGCTCTCACCGAGGTTAGGCTTGCTACTTACTGAGTACATGGAGTCGGTTGTACTCATACTACATTCTGCACTTCATATGCAAATCCAGGTGTTGCTGATAGCAGTGGTTGCTAGTGAGTTGTTTATCCAGATTTGCTTGGAGATTTTGAGGTAGCACTGTTGTTCCGTTCGCAGGCCTTGAAGTCCCCTCCTTTATCTTATATTATTACTGCTAGTCCTCCAAACAGTATTGTATTTTGTTCAGATTATGTATTTAGTACTCTATAGAGTTCATGCACTCGGTGACATCAGATTTTGGGTGGTATCAATTGTTATGACTTTCATTATTTATGGTATTTCCGCTATTTGAGATTATTTCTTATTGTTATTGAAGTTTAATTTCGTATAGCTGTTTGCTTGCCTAGCAAGCAGTGTTAGGTGTCATCACCGCTCCGGTGGAATTTTGCGTCGTGACTATTTCATTCACACCTTTAAAAAATCCAAAAATTATATTCCCAAAGAATTTGATATCCATTATACTAGGGTCATATTCTAACCGTAAGTTGAAGAATATGTACCATATAAGGAATGAGATAGCCAGGAAAAATGTGCCTTATCAGCAGTAATGTGGCTAATAGGGAATGATTTTGAGGTGTAGTTATGACCCATTCTTAATATACTTTCTTAAAAGAATAAACATCTTTGAATCTTGTCAAGTTTTTCCCTCATAAACTTGGAGAAAGACTACACAAATTCAGTCACAGCAAATTTCTTTCCTTCTGTCAATTTATAAACAGGAAAACCTCTTTCATTCCGGCATCTAAATTTGCTCCAATAAACTTAGTGGCATGCTACGGTTTTCAACTTTTCTTGGGGGTCCAATATTATCATATCAATGGTATGACGTTAATAACTTCTAAAATATCCATCGATCAATCTGTATCACTTTGATGGTGCCATGTCCATCAAATTCCAGAGCGTACGTGGATTTTTATCTACAGTTGCTTCGAATAATTTTTGGTAACATTGATTTTCTGCACAAGTCGTAAGACAATATCCAACTACGCATTGGTTCACCTTTTCGCGTATGTAATGTGCGATTAGGATGTACAAATTTGAATTGCCAATACAATTTTGAATTACATCGACTTATGTTTTATTTAGTAATACAGTACTTAAAAACTATGTAATTAACACATTAAAATATCAATTTAAAAAGAGTGGATTCATTATTTATTTTTTTTTGGATAAGGGTGCTTTTTTTGGGGGGGTTAAACAGATAATTTTATTTAACCATGTACAAGTGCTAGCTAATTTTGACTCAAGAGCTACATCAAAGAAAGATAAAAAATTTGTAACTATCTAATAACCCTCACCATCAATTTCTCTATTTACAGATATCTTACCAATCCAAAACTTAGACAGGGTAGTTACTTAAACTTTCATCATGGTCTACCATTTGAACTCATTCTGTCCCCTGAGGTGTAGCTGTAGCACAATGTCTTTGATCCTTGAGTGCATAATGGTGCTTTTCCTGAAACCTGCGCAAGTTCCTCTCAGCACAAATGTGATAGATTGTCGCTGAGAATAGGAAAATTAGTATACTTGCTTGAGGCCTGCTTTTATTGCTCCTTTTAGCTAACTATTCAATCTCCTCATTCCAGCTATCAATTTGATGTCTTTCTCCCACCCATTGTAGCAATGTTGCCAATACAGTTTTAGAGTAATCACACTCAAATAAAAGCCGATCCAGTATTTCCTCAGTGTTCCTCCACATAACACACAATCACAAGGTACAAAAATACCCCAGTTTTTTTAGTCTATCAACTATAGCTAGAATTTTATGAAGAGTCGACAAAAGTATGAATTGGTGCCTGCGTAGAGCTTTGACCCTATTGGTATTCTCTTCCATGGACTCTTTTGTATTGTGGCAGGAATGATATATACATCTTTTTAATACTGAATTTCCCATTTATACAGTACCTGTCAAGATTTGCAGTAGCCAACTTCTGGATAGTTAGAAAGTCCTTGTTCTTTATGTAAAAACGATGGATCCGTTGAGTGTCCTTTTTTGCATTGATGGCCCATAGTAGTTTACATAAAGCAGCACCGTTTCATGCATATAGATTATAATATTCAACCCTTGGGCTGATCTTGGCATACAGAAGCTCTCAGAGCTCTTATTCATGATGCATGGTTACGTTCATTGCTTCGGCCGGTCCATAGGAATGTTCTGCAGGCATTGATAATCAACTTTATAATCTTCTAGAATTGAGATCGTATCTGCTTTACACATTATCAAGCCATCAGCAAAGCATATATGGGCTAGGTTCTTCGTAGCACCCTTGGATGGTAGTTGAAGTATGAAATATGTTGTTGTAGTGTCTTCGGACCTCAGTTTTCAAACTCCATTGCTCCCTTTCTAGAAGAGGAAATAGGTTTTAAGGAAGAAATTAAATTCAGCTTCAGAGACATTCCTAACAATCAACAATCCCTTATTTGCTTCAGCTCGATGCATTATCAAGCAGGTTCTAAATCAAATCACTGCAGTTCAACGTTACTAAGCTCAGCCTTCTCCACTACCAGTTTATTTTATGCATCTTTCATTTGTATGCAATAGAAAGATCGTATCAATATATATAGAGTTTAAAAACATATTTGGGTTGTTTTAGAACATGTGAAAGTTCAATTGCAGAAAGGTGTCTTGACTTGGAAAGAAAGGGATGCAAGAGGTCATCCATAAGACAAGTGAAATGAGGAGCAAACTGCAAGTATAGACAGTGGACATTCGATTCGATTGTTTGGTGTATAAGAACAAAAGCTTCTGTTGCCTTTACTTTTCTCTAACATAAAGCTAACCATTATTTATGTTCCATACTACTTTCACCCTCACCTTAATTATTGATTAAAAACCTTATTGATTCATGATGCATCAAACTCGTTCTTCCTCTTTCCCTTCCTCACTTACCTTAGGTTACGTTGTTGGTGACAAAGAAAGCTCATGATTTAGTGATCTATTCATCAAAACTACTACGCCTTCCGTTTCATTTCATGTAGCAAAGTTTGAATAGACATAGACATTAAGAAAGAAAGGAAGACTTTTCATACTTGTGATCGAAAATATGTCATAGATGTTTGTGTGGCTATAAATCATCTCATTAAAAATAAAATGAGAAATTTAAAGTTGAACTATTACCAAAATTAAAAAGTTATCATTCTTTTTCGAACAGACTAAAAAGAAAAATTGTCACATAAAGTGGAACGGAGGGAGTACTACATTACTAGGAATATAATAATCATGAATTTCTCCACCTGCTCCAGCCTCATCCTCTGTTGTGAAAATAGCACGAGCTAGCCAGTTTTCGGACTGGTAATTGAAAAACAGCCAGCGTTTGCAAAGTTATTGAAAAATAATCATTATTTTGCTGCAACACGGAAAGTTCCAGCATAATATACTGGAGATTGGTGCACCTGTGTATGAACTTTCATCATATTATGTCGGAACTCCAGCACACGGAAAGTTCCAGTATAATATACTGGAGATTGGAGCACCTGTGTATGAACTTCCAGCATATTATGCTGGAACTTAATATGCTGGAACTCCAGTATATTATGTTGGAAGTTCACATGTAAAAAATTCGAACTCCAGTATATTATGCTGGAATATTTTTCGTATTTTGAATAGTATTTTCGTTCAGGTTAATCTTTACATGAAAAGTGATTAAATTTCGATTAATTTTGAAACTGTGGCTATTTTTCAATTACCACTTATAAATCTGGCTATTTTTGAATTTCACCCTCCTCAGTTGGCAAAACATTTACTATTAATCAATTCATTAGCAAAAGAACAATAAAACTTCCAAGTAAAAAGAAATGTTTTTGGGTCAAAATCATAGGAAAGAAGGATTAATTTCAGCAAAGACAATAAATGTTAAATGATTTCTTCTTATACATCTAAGTAGGAAGAGCTACTTGGTATACGTGTGCTAGTGGGTATATTATAAATAGTCAAAGGTAAGCTCAAGTTGACCGGTGAGATTGAATTCTTCCTGAAATTGCGGAATACCAACGGCTAGACGGTAAGACCCTGTGCACCTTAATTATAGTTTTGCAGTGACAACCTTAATAGAATGTGTAGGATAGGTGGGGAGGTGGTGACACACAACGACCAATCCGTACATACAAACTTTTAAAAAATGGGTAAAGCCAATAGATATATAAAAACTGGTGGTTTGTCAATTTGAATCTATTTTCCTTATGCTACGGAATGATGAAAAGGGGAACGGACTCGTTCCTTCCTATCGGAGGACGAATCAAGGCCTAAAGGTATGCATGCGCAAGTTGACCCGAAAACTGACCATATTATATAGGAACAATTTCCATTTATTTCCTTATTCTGTTTGATTATTGGAAAAAGCTCGAGCTAGGAATTAAATGATTGAGTTTTCATACCTACAGTACTGGCGTATTTCTATTATAAGCTAATTTGAAGTTACAGTAGGTAGACTAAATTAGAGCACAATGTCCCACATGCTATATAAGTAAAATGTTTTAGGTAATATAACTAATTCTGACTTGGATCTGGGCGATTATTCTGTTATTTGTAGTTCACTTGCTTCATACAAAATGTATTTAATTTGTAGTTCCTTGACTGGTTCAATGTGTCATATATAACTAATCCAAAATTTATCAACCAAAATAGTACTAATATATAAATCCAAAATATCAATTCACAGCCTTGAATGCCATCCTTAACATAGACATAGTTTTGCTTTGCACCTTTTAATTAACAGTAAAATAAAAATTAAGAATGCTTATATATATCTCCTCTCATCTAACCGTAGTTGTTAGTTTGCTGGAGTAGTAGGAGGAACAAAGTAGTTTGAAACAGATGATAAGCATATTTCTATACATGAGAAGGACAACTCTCCAGCCGCTGATACTCAGAAAAACCCCATTTCACCAAATCTCAGTTAAACTACCAATTAAACTCTTAACAGAAACAAAAAAAAAAAAAAAAAAAAAAAAAAAAAAAAAAAAAAAAAAAATCGAATATGTTAGTCTATCTTTCACTCTTTTCTTCCTCTATATTTCCTATTGTCACCATTAATCTTTCCCCATCACATCCTCTTCTAGTCATGTTATTCAGGATGAAGCAGATCAGTGGCCGAAGGAAGAGAAATCTGTCCATATTTGTGGTCGTATTTTCCATATTCCTCTTTGGATGCTTCATGTACTATGAAGACGTTAAGACAATAGCTGAATTCCCATTTTCCATGACCAAAACTCTTGGTATCAGCAAAGTTTCATCTGTAGTGATGAGTTTAAGAACAGAGGGTCTCTCTAAACAAGAATTAGTTGCAAGCTTGAAGTCCACTGATGAAGAAAAAACAGAAACAGAGCAGAAGAAGGAAAAGATTGAAATGCCTACTGAGGAGAATATTGAGTTGCCACCTGAGGATTGTGATCTTTTTACAGGGCAATGGGTTTATGACAATGTCACTCACCCTATTTACAAAGAATCTGAATGCGAGTTTCTCACAGAAAAGGTCACTTGCATGAGGAATGGAAGAAAGGACTCCATATATCAGAATTGGAGGTGGCAACCCAAAGACTGTTCTTTACCCAAGTATGTGGATAATTAATATTGTATTTGTCTTTCTTTTATGTTTGTCAAATTTTCTGAACAATCAGATTTTGGTATTTAAATATTAGGTTTAAACCAAGGTTGCTGCTTGAGAAACTGAGGAACAAGAGACTCATGTTTGTTGGAGACTCGCTGAACAGAAACCAATGGGAGTCCATGGTTTGTTTGGTTCAATCAGTGGTTCCTCCTGGCCGGAAAAGCTTAAACAAGACTGGTTCTTTATCTATTTTTAGGATTCAGGTATGTATCTTCCCTTTCCTTTCCTTTTCACAAGAATCAATTATCTCATATATACTTCCCTCGAACACAATGATTATGCCCTGATACATGAGTCATACTCCTCTTAGGAAAGATATTAGTGACACCTTATTTATTGCTCCTATGTAAGTTATAACCGCGATTAAGAGCCTGTTTGCCCCAAGCTTTTTAAAGTGGCGATTTAAAAAAAACCAAAATTATCAGTTATGTCCGTGATAAGAACTTAGTATAAAAAATGGTCAATTCATAAAATTTTACTAATATTAGCCAAATATATCAATATTAACCAATTAGCTATTTGTAGCCAATAAAGGTTAAACTTTTGCTTCTTTTTTTTTAGTGGTGTTGTTGGAATAGATTGGGTACATCTTAACGAGTTTGAATCTCAGTTTTGGGATGATTTGGTGGAGTTTGAGGTGGTTTGAATATAAAATTCAAAAGTAGAAGATGAACATGAAAAAAGATTATATGTGTATCACACTGTGTATTATTTATGTATCACATATGTATCATAAGCGTATCAAATATGTATCACGTGTATATCCATGTATACTTGTGTGTGAGATACATGTGTCGCAGAAGATCTTTTTAAACTCGATTTTTTAATTACGAATTTTGATACCAAATCACCTTCAATCTTGCTCAAATTTTATATATTGCATCATCTATATGTTTTCAACAAATTCTAACCATACCCATTGGAAAAAAAAAAAAAATCCTTTTTTGCCTAATATTCTTTTGTAATATTGTATATTATTATTGATAATGAATTTTGACTCCAAACTAGTCTAATTCACCTTCAAACTTAGCCAAATTTTGTATATTGGCTCATCAATGTATTTTCAATCGATCGCAATAACACCCATTGAAATATATCTTTATATTTTTTAATGTTGTATATCATTGGTAATTTTTTTGACTAATTTTAGTAGCATGACTAAAATGACTAGTCATTAGTAAATAATGTCTTTTTTGGTACATTTCCACAAGATTCTCAATTTAAAAAATATAATATTTAGAGAATGAAGGTGTTGACCAAGTTTTTAGTGAAAAGTATATACTTTTGAATAGAAAATTTTTCTATTTCCTTTTACGTATAAACTAAAAAATAGCTTATCCAAAAAATAAGTGATTTTGATTTTTTTAGGATAAAAATTCTCAAATACAAAATAATTACATGTTATCATCCAGAAAGAATAGAATTAATTGGTAACCTGGTATATAATGCAAGTTACAATCAGTAGCAGCCATCATTATATTGGTATACTATGTAAAATTAACTCTCGATAACAATCCTACCCAAATATTGATTGATTTTGCTTTTCACCATAATAATACTAATTTTGATTGATTTTACTAAACTATCCACTTTCGTTTATGTAATTTATTTTCATATTTAAAGCACTACAACTTTAGCGTCATAAAGTCAAATATAGAAATAAAATATCTGAATATATTCTATAATATAAAAATCTAATTAGATATTTTGTATAGCATAATAATTTATTAGCTTTTTAAAATTATTAACTAATAAACTATGAATATCTGTTAAGATTTTAAATTTAAATATTTTATTTACTTTTATAATAAGTTTTTTTTTAGAAAAATGACTTTTTGCATAATTTTTATTTATAACAATCAAATAAGATTTAGATGTCAAATGTTATTATAGGTATATCATTTGCTACACAGTAAAAACTATCGGGATAAATGATGTTTATAGGGAGGTTTGGATATAGTTCTTGACATAGTGTATATAAGTTAGATCATTCAACTAAATGAATAGTGTATTCTCTATATTATAAGTCCACCTAAGTTTTCCTTCTTTAGTAACAATGTTAATGTAAAATGTAGGATTATAATGCCACAGTGGAATTTTACTGGGCTCCATTTCTGGTGGAATCAAATTCAGATAATCCAAACTTCCATAGTATATTAGACCGGATCATTATGCCTGAATCAATCGAGAAGCATGGCAAGAACTGGAAGAATGTGGACTATCTCATCTTCAACACATACATTTGGTGGATGAATACTTTTGCCATGAAAATTTTGTAAGTATGACATAAAGAATCCAGCATTTATGTTTAACATTATTTTTGGGCAAAATACAAAACTGGCGGGTTGATTGAAACTAATTGTATTCACTTGCCGAAAAGTTATAAAATATGTATATTTGTAGTATATAATACACATATCAGACAAGAGTGGGTTGCTCTAGTGGTGAGCACCCTCCACTTCCAATCAAGAGGTTGTGAGTTTTAGTCACCCAAAGAGCAAGATGTGGAGTTCTTGGAGGGAGGGAGCCGAGGGTCTATCGAAAACAGTCTCTCTACCCCAGGTTAGGGGTAAGATCTGCGTACACACTACCCTCTTCAAACCCTACTAGTGGGATTATACTGTTGTTATTGTTGTTGTTGTAATATATATATATATATATATATATATATATATATAAGAAAATATTTTGTATGCTATTACTTTTGGGAGCGACTATAAATATACATTTCTCATTATTTTTCCTACCAAACAGACGAGGATCATTCGATGAAGGAGCGATAGAGTACGATGAGATTGAGAGACCAGTTGCTTATCGGAGGGTTTTGACGACATGGTCGCAATGGGTCGAAAACAATGTGGATAGCAATCACACTAAAGTCTTCTTCATGAGCATGTCTCCTCTACATATGAAGTAATCCCATTTCCATCTGCTTTCTTTCACCTTTGTGCTTTTACGTCAAATGCTTATAAGCCAAAAGTTCTTAAGTTGATCAACTTTTAAGTACTTTTGGTTTGATCATAACTTTTCTCTAAAAGCTTTTGTATCTTCAAAGTACCATTTTCAAAACAAAATCGCTAACTCCCTCCTCATTTCATGTTTTGTCATTCTATTCCTTTTCAGTTAAGGATATTTTAAAATTATATATTTTCGTAAAACAAACTTTAAGAATATTTTAATCATTTTAATAGAAAAAACTATTTATATGTACTTTCTACCATTCGAACTAGTTATTAGCAATTTTATTACTTTTATATTAAATATGTAAAATAAATCAATTTCAACACCTAAAGTGTTATTTTAAAAAATTTAATGTCTATCAGCTATTATTAACCAGCCAACCGAACTCTAGGCCCAACTGTGATAATGCTTTGAATTGTTTTCTTGGTTAACCACTTACAGGAGTTCAGATTGGGGCAATCCGGAAGGGATAAAATGTGCAAAAGAGACAACCCCAGTATTAAACACATCAATGCCGCTAAATGTTGGAACAGACAAGAGACTATTTGTAATAACATCAAATGTTAGTCAGTCCATCGATGTCTCTATTGACTTCCTCAAAATTACCTCTCTATCGGAGTATAGGAAAGATGCACACACCTCCGTCTACATCACTCGGTATGGCAAAACGCTGACGCCAGAGCAGCAAGCTGATCCAGCAACATATGCTGATTGTATTCATTGGTGCCTTCCCGGATTGCCTGACACTTGGAATGAGTTCCTCTATTCACGTATTATAGCCCATTCTTGGCACTAAGAAGTTTCTTCCTCATATTGAAGTGGTGTTCGTGCGCACACCTTAATTATTTCATCAAGTACGCATTACCGATACGCCCTTCGTTTTGCAGCTTCGTACTGTAATTGTCTATAATGTTTTGCATCTTTTTTTGGTTAAGAACCACAATTCTAATTTTGATGCTTTTTTTATTTTTTTCTCTGTCCTTGTAAAATTTTCCTCAAGATAAGAAAAATATTTGTAGTTGTAATTGCCTGGGAGATTTGCACAAATAGGATACTTCAATGCCCGTTGTTTAATATTTGTCTTTGTTTGAAGATGTATACGGTCAAAACCGGTTTCGACCTTCGTATGATTAGTCAAGATTTGAACATAATGGACCGAAGGTCTTCTTCATAATATCGAGATGAGATCGGAAGCCAGGATGCAGCTCAAGTTTCAGGAACATATCAAATACCGAGCTCGAAGTCATTATCGAGCTCGGGTCCAAATCGAACTATGATGTGAAGTGGTGTTATCGAGCTCAAGAGCCAGAGACCGACCAATACCGAGACTGAGTCAATACCGGGCCTCGAGTCAATATCGAGCTCGAGTCAATATCGATCTCTAAATCTGGAGATCGATCAATACCAAGTCCGATCAAGATCGAGCTAAGAGACAAGAGCCGTTATAGCCGCACTAAGGGAGAGAATCTCGACGGGAATTAAGGAAAAATCAATTAACTAATCTATCACGGGATCCCACTATGTATTTTTTATATCTAAAGTAGGGTTTTCTCCACTATAAGAAGAATGACTATCATTTCTGTAAGGAGATCAAGGCATCTACACACTCCCATATTGAAAAACTTATTGATATTCATATAGAGATTATCCTTTTTTGGACTTTGTACATTGATTCGTCTTGCTTGTTCATAAATCGTTTTTCACTCAATTTGGTTTGTATTTCATTCTTTTTACAGTCAATATTCGATATATTTCTACTTTTTTTTCCGGTTTGTGCCAAGTTATTCCATGTATCCTTAGAACTACGTATAAATTCAACTCTATCCATTTTTCGGGTAAACAGTTTGGCGCCCACCATGGGGCTAAGAATAATAGTGATTATTTAGAACAAACCTCTGTGAAACACACTATTTTACACTTGTTCTTGGAAGTGTCTTTGAATTTCAGGTTGAAAATGACGAATTCTCAATTAATGGCCCTACCTATCGACAACGAAGTTGGCCTTCAAGATGAGAACAACAACTTAAACCCCGGGGGTGGAAGGCCACACGTCGATCCCGTTTGAGCTTGGGTCGAAGAGCCAATAGACGTTAATTCGCATGTGGCCATCGAGGCAAACCAATGTTCCGACCCTAAAAATAGCATTCATGGTGGAACTCGATCTGCAGCTCGAAATACCCAAAACGCTGAGGAAAACGGAATCAGCTTGCGTAAGATTTTCGAAATGTTGCAAGCTCAACAAGTAGCAATAGCCAAATTACCGAGCCAAACCCAGGCACCGACCAGACTCGAGCCTAATCCACCCCAAGAAGTCACCCACAAAACATGGCCAGCTGTAGTAAGGTCAAATGAGCAAGAATCGGGGACTAATCCCGAAATTGTTAAGATGTTCGAGGAACTGACAAAATGAATAGAGTCGGGAGAAAGGAGGATTGAAGCAAATGACAAAAACGTGGAAACATATAACTCCAGGGTCGATCAGATCCCGGGGGCACCACCGATATTGAAAGGCTTGGATTCCAAAAAATTCGTACAAAAGCCCCTCCCCACGAGTGCAGGTCCGAAACCGATCCCCAAGAAGTTCCGCATGCCCAAAATTCCTAAATATAATGGAACAACCGACCCCAACGAACACGTCACCTCTTACACATGTGCCATTAAAGGGAACGATCTAGAAGACGATGAGATCCAATTTGTATTATTGAAAACAATCGATGAAACCCTGTCAAAGGGAGCGATGATATGGTATCATAATTTACCATCTAACTCTATCGATTCTTTTGCTATGCTTGTAGATTCTTTCGTAAAAGCACACGCGGGGGCCATAAAGGTCGAAACCAGGAAGTCCGACCTTTTCAAGTTAAGACAAAAAGATAACGAGATGCTAAGAGAATTCGTATCTCGTTTCCAAATGGAACGAATGGATCTACCGCCGGTCACAGACGATTGAGCTGTTCAAGCTTTCACTCAAGGTCTAAACGAACGAAGCCCGATGGCTTCATGACGGTTGAAGCAGAACCTGATCGAGTACCCAGCTATTACCTGGGCCGATGTACACAATCGGTATCAATCGAAGATCAGAGTTGAAGACGACCAGTTGGGTTCTGGGCCCGTTATTAAAAGGGACATCAACAAGAACCAAGGCCGATCAGGGACCGATACCAGCCGTATAGTAGAGATCATAGGGGTAACGAACCAAGACGTAACCCCGTACAAGGAGATAGAAGAGGTGATCGAGGCTAAGGGTCTCGGGGGCTGATGAACAGGAATGGGTTCGACAGGCATACCAGACCTAAGGAAGCACCACGGTTATCAGAATATAACTTCAACATCGATGTGTCCGCCATCGTGTCGGCTATCGGACACATCAAAGATACTAAATGGCCTCGACCTCTACAGATCGATCCTGCCCAGAGGAATCCCAATCAAATGTGCGAATGTCATGGCACTCATGGCCACAGAACAGAAGGTTGCAGGCAACTGAGAGAGCCCGTTTATTCAATAAAGGGCACCTTCGAGAATTTTTAAGTGAACGTGCTAAAAACCATTTCTAAAACAGGGATTTCAGAAGACAAAATGAACAAGAATAGACACAACACATTATCCACATGATCATCGGAGGGAACGATACCCCCCAGGGGCCGGTGCTTAAGCACACTAAGATGTCGATTGAAAGAGAGAAGCGATCTCGCTCTCAGGATTATGCACCTAAAGGAACCTTGTCCTTCAGTGATGAAGACGCAGAAGGAATCATGCAACCCCACAATGATGCACTAGTAATATCTATACTTATGAATAAAACTCAAGTTAAGTGTGTGTTAATTGATCCAGGCAGTTCGGCAAACATTATTAGATTGAAGGTCGTAGAGCAGCTCGTTCTACAGGACCAGATCGTGCCTGCATCCCTGGTTCTAAATGGGTTCAATATGGCATGTAAAACTACTAAGGGCGAGATAGTCCTGCCAATAAACGTGGCCGGGACCATCCTAGAAACGAAGCTCCATGTAATCGAAGGAGACATGAGGTATAACGCTCTTTTTGGAATGCCGTGGATCCACAATATGAGAGTTGTACCCTCGACCCTCCACCAGGTTCTAAAATTCCCAACATCGGAGGGAGTCAAAACGGTCTACGGAGAACAACCGGCCGCAAGAGAAATGTTTTCCATCGATGAGGTAATTCCGATATCTACACTATCATCAACAAAGGGATCAGATTCGAAGGGTGAACATGATACCAAATAGCAATCACAAGCGTCAGCCCCGACCCGACTAGAGAATCAGAAGACTGACGAAGACGATGACTATGGGATCCCTCGATCCTTTGTGGTCTCTGATGATACCGATGCTTCCCAGTCAATGGTCGAAGAACTAGAGCAAATCACGCTAGTCGAACATCTGACTGAGCGAAAGGTATACCTGGGCACGGGGTTAGATCCCCAGCTCAGGAAAAAGCTTATTCAATTTCTTATAGCTAACATGAACTGTTTTGCTTGGTCCTATCTCGACATAACAGGGATCCCACCGGAGATAGCCACTTATAGATTGAGCTTGGATCCAAAATTCCGTCTGATAAAACAAAAAAGAAGGCTCCAGTCCGAGGTCAAACATGCCTTCATCAAAGACGAGGTAACCAAACTTCTTAAAATAGGATCCATTCGAGAAGTTAAATATCCTGAATGGCTAGCAAATATGGTGGTGGTCCCTAAGAAAGGAGGCAAACTTAGAATGTTTATAGATTATAAAGACTTGAAAAAAGCATGCCCTAAGGATTCTTTTCCTTTGCCTAGCATCGATCGTATGATCGACGCCACGTCCGGCCATGAGACTCTCAGTTTTATCGATGCTTACTCTAGGTACAACCAGTACAAATGAACCCGGAGGATCAAGAAAAGACCTCGTTTATCACCAAGTACGACACCTATTGTTATAACGTAATGCCATTCGGTCTAAAAAATGATGGTGCAACTTATCAACACCTAGTAAATCGAATGTTCGAAAAACAAATAGGAAAATCAATGAAAGTTTATATTGATGACATGTTAGTTAAGTCCCTGCGGGTAGAGGACCATTTAAAACATTTGCAGGAAACGTTCGACGTACTAAAGAAGTACAATATGAAGCTCAATCCCAAAAAATGTGCATTCGAGGTTGGCTCGGGCAAGTTTCTTGGTTTCATGGTATCCAACCGAGGAATCAAAATCTACCCCGATAAAATCAAAGTTATCGAGGACATCACAGTGGTAGATAATGTGAAGGCCGTGCAAAGATTAACGGGGAGAATAGCCGCCTTGGGATGATTCATTTTGAGATCTTCAGATAGGAGCCACCGATATTTCTCACTGCTTAAGAAGAAAAGCAACTTTACATGGACTCCGGAATACCAACACGCTTTGGAAGAACTAAAGCAGTATTTATCGAGCCCGCCTCTGCTTCATACCCCGAAAGTAGATGAACAGCTTTACTTGTACTTAGCTGTGTTGGAGATAGCGATAAGTGGAGTCCTAGTTCGGGAAGAATGAGGTACGCAATTCCCTATTTATTATGTCAGTCGGACCTTAGGCAAGGCCGAAATTAGATATCTACACTTAGAAAAATTAGTACTTGCTTTAATAAGCGCCTCTAGGAAATTGAAACCACATTTCTAATCTCACTCGATACATGTTGTAACAACTTATCCTCTTCAGAACATTTTGTGCAAACCCGAGCTTTCAGGTCGATTGGCCAAATGGTCTATAGAAATCGGTGGGTAGGATATCGAACATCGACCTCGAATCGCTATCAAGTCTCAAATCTTGGCAGACTTCGTGCCTAACTTTTTGCCAACCCTCGTGCCCGAGATTGAAAGAGAGCTACTTATAAAATTGGGTACCTCTTCGGGAGTCTGGACCCTTTTCACAGACGGTGCCTCGAACCGAAAGGGTTCGGGTTAGGCATTGTACTAAAATCACACACATGTAATAAAATTAAACAGTCTATTAGAACTACAAAATTGACTAACAATGAGGCCGAGTATGAGGCCGTGATTGCAGGTCTCGAACTAGCTAGAAGCTTGGGAGCCGAGGTCATAGAGGCTAAATATGATTCCCTCCTCGTGGTAAATCAAGCCAACGGGACTTTTGAAGTCTGAGAAGATCGAATGTAGAGGTACTTGGATAAATTACAAGTGACTCTACATCAATTTAAAGAATGGACTTTGCAACATGTACCTCGAGAACAGAACAGCGAGGCCGACACTCTTGCAAACTTAGGTTCATCGGTCGAAGATGACGAATTCAACTCGGGGACTGTCGTATAACTCATGAGATTGGTAATAGAAGAAGGACACGCCGAAATAAACTCCACAAGTTTAACCTGGGATTGGAGAAACAAATATATAGAGTACTTCAAGAACGGGAAGCTTCCATCAGATCCAAAAGAATCGAGGGCTCTATGCACAAAGGCAGCACGATT